ATTTTGGAAATTTTCATAGAGACCGTAGGGTGACATTGTTATGAGAAATCTTAAAAGAAAAAAAAAATAATCTATTGAATAAATAGGTAGTTTTGGAGAGTAATTGTGAGTGCAATTCTCATGGCACCGTGTTAAAATATCGCTATTTAAATTCTCCATGAATTTGCTGGTTGAGATCTGACCCTTATGTTGGTGTAATGTAATTTTTGTGTTTAACAGAATATATTACTTTCTCACTGATGGATTGTCAAGCAGACATCTTGATTAAATGTTTTCAGATAGGTGATGCAGGGGAAGCAGAGGTACTTACCAGTTATGACTAACCTGGCTTCACTTTGAATTTGCAGAAAGTAGTCCATTTGCACAGTGCTTGCCAAAGAAAGAAGAGCAATTAGTCTTGCTTCCCTCTTTAAAACTGTGATTCACACTGTAATGTGTGCTGTGAGGTTAGTAATTAGCATTGCAGTGTATAACTAATGTATGTCACTTATGAAGCGGTAGATCAGTAATGCAGCTAAGGTTCTCTTGAAGTTAAAGGAAGGGCTGAAGAAAGAAAGTGGGTCTTTTTTCTGCTACATACATCTATGATAAATCAATAACTGTCACTGCCTGAAATTTTTAAAGCTTGAAACACTGATGTCCTCAAAAGCAAAGAATAAAGAGCATGAGAGACTATTTTACTGTTCCATCAGAAAATAAGATGTAAAAATGCCTTCTCAGTTTTGTGTTCCTTTTTTTTGGTCATTCGTAGTTGATGTGAACTGTAGATGTTATAATTATATGTCAACAGTTCTGATGTTTCATTGTTTATAATACACTGAAAAAGTAAAGAAAAATAATATTCAGCTATGATAGAACTGTTCCTTACACAGTAAAGTAAAGCAGAATTAGCTGCCATTGAGTGCCTGTTTTCAGAAACTTCTCTCATTCTATACAAATGTGTCAACTGCAAGAAAATACATTTGAGTTTTGTGGTCAGCTTAGAAGTATTTTCTAAGAGTTTTTATATTATGTAATTATTATTAATTCTTATTTTATAAGAATGGTCAACTTAGAATTTTATAAAAAATATTTATCTTCAGTGATGCTGTACTTATTTTCTGTTTGTTTTATTTTATGTAGATTTTTATTTACCTTTATTTGTACTATTTTAGCAGTCCATTTATTGCTTCCTTGATTGATTTTTTTAATAACTTTCTCTGAGTTTCATAATCACAACAGAATACATACAACTTTTACAGCCGTAAACAGTGCAAACTTCTGAAAGAATTCTGATCAAGTTCATGTTGAGCATCACTTAATGAAAAGTTGGCTTTTACACAGAAGCCCATTAAACTGATAATGTTCTCAGAAATAAGAGAAGGTGGCAGGCAAACTACAACCCTAATGTGCAAGTGTTTAAACCATTGACACTTTCAACTTTTGACCAGTATGTGGTGGTAATGGAAAATCCAGTTTTTAGAAACACTCTGTCATACTTCTTTTAAAGAACATAAAAAAAGAGTATAATATTTGTTCCATTGTATTTGATATTGTGGGGTTTTTTTAAGATGATTGGAAGATTTAAGCTTTTAAACCTGATGCTCACAGAATTGCTTTAAAAGAAAAAAAAAATACAAAGAAAAATGTACTTGAGTCAATGAACAATTTTCTTAAATGCAGTGCTCTAACTGTAGTATTTAACATTTTTACTCCATGCATTTAACTTAGCTTCCCTATTAATAATGTGTGATGAGACAATTCAGACAGTATGTGTTGCTCTCCTGATTCTTTAGTTGATGGATATAGTTTCATCTGGATTCTGGTGTAGACAGAATCCATTGAAGCTAGGATAAATTTTATGGCAATCCACAAACATGCACAGAAACAAAAGTAAGCATTTGCTTATCCATCTATACTCAGGATATGGTGTTTGCTTGTAATTCCTGGGTGGCCAAAGAGAGGGTGGCTGCTAGACACATTTTCCACTGGTGGGGAATAATAAAGATGAAATCAAAATAATTTTGTGCATTAAGGCTTTAACATGCCCATTTATTCTGATTTTAATCTTAACTGTGGTCAGAGTAAGAGCAAACAGACAAAAGTGCATTTGTTTTATGTAGAAAGACTGGAGCGGTACCTTTCACATCTTTAGTTTGATGTCAAAAGTAGCAGCAAAGGTCATAAGTTATACAAACAAATATTTTTCCAGAAGTCAGGCAAAAATTTAAAAAATTGCTTTATGGATAGTTTCAGAGTTTCACTTAAAGTAGCAGGTTTTTTTTCCTTCTGCTGTTCCTTCCTAGTTCTTCTGTCAGCCTGGTTTGTGTTTCTCATTCGAAACTGCCCTTTAGGATCAGTGGGGAATTTCCTGCAGTTTTGAAGGACAAGCAATTCCTGCTTGTCTTTTAATTTTTGTTATGTGGCACAATCACATGACTTAGAAGTTACAGTAAAACTTTCAATAGCAAACATTTATAATATACCTAAAATAAAAAGTGCCGAGTTTAATATACCTAAGTCTCTGTGTATAAAGATAACACAATGGATTGTACCCAGATGTACTCAAAATCCCATGGTAAATATAATAGCAAAATAAAGCAACTAAATGACTTAAATTCAGTGAAGTAGTGAACTGGGAAGAGTGGCAATGGTGGAAGGCTGAGTGTCCAGTTTTTCAGGGATCTGCTGAAATATTGGATAGTGATTCAAATGAAAAGGTCTTTCACAGAGCAGGCATGTACACAGATTTTGAAATAATTCAGAATTGTAATTTCCTTTTTTCCAGATGACATGAATCTGTAAATTCAATGCCTCCTTAATTAATTGAAGTAATCTGGTAGTAAGCATATAGTATGATAATTAGTGTTCCCTATTAAGATCATTCACATTTTAAAATTAAAATTAGAGATACGTGCCTTTTCTGGAACAGTATTAAGTTGAATTCATCGTTATTAAGGATGTATGCAGAACTTAAGGAACCTCTCAAGGAGGTTCAAGCTAAATCACCCACGTTAAGCAAAAGAACGTAAGAAAAAGAAAACAGGTAATGACTGGGACGCGAATGCTTAGGCTCAGTTGTGACTAGGTGCAGGGTTTGTTTCACAGTTTGCAGGACTAGAGATCTAGTGTGAAGCTGGGTACTGTTGTCTAGTCTACAGTTTATTTTCCTTTCCAAGGGAATTATTTAGTTCTTTCCAGAGCAGAGTAGGGATAAGATTAACATGCAAGTAGTTGACCTAATTAAGTGATAATACACAGAGGTCTTCCAGTGGACAGACAAATCCTGCTCTAGCCTTTGGGTGATTTCCCAGATCTAGGAGGTTTTTCTTGCAGTTTATTCTGTGAAATCCAGTGGTGAGAAAATAAGGAAAAAGAGGAAAGAGGGAAAAGAATCAGTACGATGGAAATTCCTGTACTTACAGTTTCTGTATTCTTGTTTTGTTGAACTTGATTTGTTACTTTGGTGGCAAAACTCAAAGTAATAGTACTTCAAGAATTCTTCCCTTCCTCACTCGGAGGAACAGTATAGCAACAATTGCCATGGGGAGTGATTCACTTCCAATTTATAGACCCCCTATTCACAGTGTGATGCTATAAGTAGTGGAAAGTGTAAGAGTTTTTCTTGGGGGTACTATACTATGTCAGGAACCATGCCAAAGTTGCCTATGTAGTAAGTGCCAAAATTAAGATTTTTTTGCACTTTGACTAATTTCTCAGAAATCTTAGGAAGCTCTTTAAAATATCATACTGTTATTTCAGTATGATGGCTGTGGTATATATTATTAAACATACAAGAAGGGTGTAAGGTCTGAGAAGCAAGGTGTCCTAGACCAGGAGGCAACATACCCTATCCTGGAGTTCACTATTGGCAAGACCATTGTATGCAAAGTTGAATGGCAAAGGTGTCATGCCATATTCTCAGTATCAGTCACCAGTTGTCAGTGAACTATGAAATGTTCCAACTGGAGTCTCAGATTTGCCAACTCTAAGCACATTCCAGGTAAAAAGATGAAGCTATGTTCATCTAACGAGCCAAGGTAAAGGTGTTAAGGATATGCTGGTTAAAAATGGCAGACTCAGCTGCTCTGATCTGCCTTTTCAGCCCTGCCCATAATTAGGGTGATTCAGTGATGAAAAATCATAATTTACAAATCAGTCATTGTGGTGAGATATTCTCCTGTGACATTTGTGATTGCAGCTATGTTAAAGTGGCGTTCACTTTCTGTTTACCTAGAAGAAATAGTTCAAGACGAAAGAG